GGCGGAGGGGCCGCGGCTGGGGCAGCCCCGGCGCCGGCGGGGCCGAGGCCGCGCTGTTGCTCAAAGGGAGGCTCAGGCCCGAGCCAGGACTGCGGGGAGCTGGAAGGAAAGGGACAGGCTGCCGTTAGCCGTGGCACCCGCTCGGGTACAGAATGGTCCCCGCGCCATTCTGGCTTTAGCCGCGACCTTTAATAAAGGGCAGAAATGCCCATATTTTATTTCCACACATTAACAAACTCGGCCACTGGACTGACATGCTGCCCACTTTGGTGACCCCCACGTCTTTGGTGACCCCCACGTTTTGGGAAAAACACACACGGCCATCCTCATTTAGTTTGTTTAAACACTGATAAGTGCTTCGTTTAGTGCTGGCTTTGTTTGCGCTCTCTAATTGAAGCACGCCGGTGCCCCGGGGACAGGCACCGCTGCTGAGAGTGGTAACACCAGTTATTTATTCACTCCCAGTTGCCCTACCAAGGTGGGTTTTCAAGAGCAGGGTGGGCATCTCTGTACCCCAGGCAGATCCTGACCTGCTCGCTGAAGCTGCTGTGCAAAAAGCAAACAGTAGCAGGGTGGATTTTGCTCTGCAATCAGCAGCTCTTGAAGACCAACATGGACACAGTAATTCCGTGCCACTCGACCCTGATATTTTGTAGGGATTTCTTTTTGTTGTATGCATCTAGGGGAGACTGTAGCCAGTAACCAAAAGAGGAAGTATTTCAAACGTTCTGCAAATCAGCAACATTTATTTTGTGTCCCGGAGCAGCAAAGGTCTGGAGCTCTGTAAAATACATTTTTTAATCAAAACTTCACCTCATTCTGCAGGATATTTGTGTCAATTCAAGGGCGTGCACTAGTGCTTCTGTTTTCAGGTGTTCACACTCCTAATCCAAGTTTTGCCACATGCATCAAGGGCGCTTGTCACGGAGAACTACATCTACAGCCAGCTGAAGCAGAATGACATGCAGGCCAGTGCGCCCCAAAAATCAGCACCCCAGGACATTTACTCCTAAGGAATTAAGATGAACAGCAACAATATATTGGGCAAAAGACCCCAGAGCCCCTTTTACCTCTGCTCTTCGTGGGGTCGGTGTTAACAATCTGACTGGCTCGCTTGGGTCGGAAGTAGTTGCTGGCGATGTTCTCACTGTCACTCCTGCTCAACATCAGCTTGTAGCGGTCTTCCTCTTGCTGGAATCCAGAAACACTAGCTCTTAGACACCCGAGTGTCACAGCTTGAGGCTTAGAAATACTGCCAAGTACCGTAACATGAGATACAAACAAGTTCTTGCTTACACAAATATATATTTCACTATATAGGTGATGGCCCAACCTACCAGGGCCGCACTAGCGCTCTGCCTGCTCACAGGCAGGGTGGTCTTTGCTGGTCCCAAACCACCAGCACGTCCAAGTCGAGCCTCTGTATTCCTCTAGTCACCAAATTGTGCTGCTAAGTGCTCTGCTTTGCCGTTTACTCCATTTTACACATCCTTCAAGGGTCCTTTGCTGTGATCCTGCTGACTCACACCGACTACATACAACTGCCGTGGTGTTGATGTTCTGCCCCCACAGCAGACCCAGCACACGTGAACCACAAGGACTCCTCAGCAGGGCTTCCCAGGACCCCAGGAGGAAAAGAAATACAATTTACCATTGCTAGTTCTCCACTCTCAGCTGAAGGGCTCTTTTTGGCAGGTTTCGCCTGTGGCAGCGAAGAAACTGCTATGAGAAAACACAAAATATTAAAGGGCCATCATCTCTAAAACAATTACACTCATGATGGAGCAACTCGATCCCCACCACTGTTACTGGGCTAACGGAGAGGCTTCAAGGACCCTTAGGGATAGGATATGCGACAGCTAAGGCAGTAACATGCAAGTTCACCAACTCTTGGAGGGAAGATTTACAGGGAAGGCAACACACCCCTCTGGCTAAGGCACCACATAAGCACATGAAGAGCACAAGGACCCCGAATTCTAATTTTGGGTCAAAAAAAAGTCCCTGTGAAACTCCAGGAAAGCCACCAAGCTGAAATCAAGCTCTTTCCTTGCCTTAGCTGCTCAAGCTTTGGAACAAGTCTTGTAACACCATATTGCAGGAACTGCTGGGTTCACTCATTAGTGGCATAAAGTGCTTTCAGGTCCTGGGATGAGCAGCTTTCAAAGGGCTGACATTTGGTTTAAGCGCTAGCTGCAAATTCAGTCTCCCCAGAAGAGACCTGCAGTACTGACCACATGTGCCTGGGCAGGGAACCCTTGCCTGCCTGCTTCCACTCCACCACAAAGAGGTGGTTTTGTCCTCATTAAACTAGGTTATTATCCAGACTTTCCAGAAAAACTCCAGCCTGTGCTCTACACGCAAGACTTCACAAGCGAGCACAATCCAAACGGGATAAACAGCAAGCTGATGTGCTGCTGAGCTGGGAAGGAGCCGGGGGACAGCGGTGGAGTCAAGATGCTCCCCTTACCTGCAGGAAGGCTGGTTTTCTGAAGGACAAGGTCTGGAATTCTCCAGCAGGCAGCCTCCTCATCCCAGACGCACTCGCGCTTGATCTTCTCCAGGTTGCTGTAGTTGCAGTCGCGCCGGACGAGGGCCTGCACCCGATCCAGCAGCTGTTGGAGGAGCATGGAGTCGCGCTCCAGCCGCCGGATGGTGCCCAGGTAATCGATCTTTTCCAGCTCAAACTCCGACTGCAAATCTCTGATCTCCGTCTCGGCAGCCCGCAGCTGGGGCATAAAAACAAAACGGCTAGTTGGGGTTATAACGGAGACGAGCGTGGAAATTTGTCACAGAAATCATGCAGTTTCCTCTGAAGACAAATAAGGAAGAAGCATAAGAAATAATGAACAGCTTGAGAAAGTGGACAGGCAATTTTTATTTTCACTGTCCCCTTATGCAAGAATGAGGAGGCACTTACAGGGAAGTAGGGTGGCCAAACTCAAACATGCGACAAGGAGATACGTTATTCTATGCTGCGGATTTAGAATGGGTTGAAGACGGCAACTTAGCCATGTCCAAAAGATGACAAGGTTGATGAGAACACATACAGTTACTTCTCGCTTTTTAAATAACAGAAGCTTCAGTGCTTTAGATTTCTGATTTCTCAGTCATGTAATAGATTGCACATGCCGGCAGAGGGAGTCGCATCCTCTCCCATGAACAGACGTGTTCACACAGCCAAACTCTTACACAACAAGGTGGAAAACGGTCAGGTGAGGCCTTGAGAAAGCAGCAGACAGGGAACGACTTGTTTCAGCACTGTGAGTGATACTACAGCAAATATTTTATAGGCATGCACACAAGAAACCTCGTAGGTAATAACACGGGTGCACACATGAAATATTAGACACAGGCAGAGTTGTTCTCTAGCCAGGCTTCCTGCAACGCCTCAGTGTGAAGAACATGGAAGCAGAGGAGGAAAGATAGGATATGAGGATATGTCAGATAAATACATTTAAAAGCCATCCAGAGAATAAACACACCGAATGCTCCCTAAATGCAGCAGGGGTAGTCAAAAGCTGCTTTTGCAGGCTCACCTTTCTCTGCATCTTCTCCAGAAGTTTGCTCTTGGCTCGCACCTCTTCCTGGATGGAGTCGTAGACGTTGAGCAGGACCCAGTCGCTGCTGTCCTCGCTGGAGTTGTGCAGCGCGGCCACCAGCTGCATCCTCCGCTCGGCTGCGTGCTTCTTTCGCCGTTTATGCTTTTCTTTGAGGTCCTTGTTTTTAGCCTGTTCTCCCCCTACTACCTGCTGTTCCAGCATCTGCAGCCTGGGAAAGGCAAACACCTCTCAGATCAGCCACGCAAAGAAACATTCCCTACCTGAAGGGCACTTGGAAAGACGACACAGAAGTCGTCGTTTCTTCTGAGATTAGTGATGGCAAATTCCACTTTTAATGACACATTGTCATAAACACTGACGTGGACCCAAGCCAAAGCGCCTGCTACTCCGAGTGCCTTTGTCATCCAAATACGCCTGGAAATCAGCTTCCACACTCACAGAATTCTCTTAAAAACAGTTTTGTGTAACACATATTTCACTTCTTTCTTGCTCTGAAAGCTCTCAAAGCAAGCACAGAATGTGCCAAAAATGCAAACCAATACTTTAAGCGGTGGCTGGGGGAGCAGCATGGCTGGAAGCTGCAGCAGGTTTTTTCTCTTGATGCAGTATCAGCAAAGGGTTTCGTGACCGGGGCTACCCCAGCCTGGGCACAGACACAGGCCCACATTTGAAGCAGAGCTCGTCGTCACATCCCTATGAGCTCCCTATGCCCCAGCACGGCCCAGTGCTGCTGCCAGGAGGGCAGAGGGATTTGGGGGTAGCCTGAGGGTCAGGCAGACTTTGGAGAGTGAGGCAGTGCAAGCAGTGAGCTCCCACCCCGCTAAAAACATAGCAGTGTGGATCCTGAAAGCAGCCCAGGGACCGGAGCACCGTTCTTTAATGCACCCTGGTCTGCCTTTTAAGGGCAACCCTGCTGCAGCCCTGCTGATCTTGACGCCCGCGGCGAAACCCCCGGAAGGCAGATAAATATTTGACAAAGCGTAAGAGCAAGTGTCCTTCCGTGAGTCACCGGACAAGCTGGCAGCCACACATCCTGAGGGAGCAATCTGTTTCGAGACATTTTGCACGCTTGAGAGAAAATCTGTTCCCCTCCCAGCTCATGTAGAGTTACTGCTGCCTTTGGAATATGGCAATGTTCCTCTAATGCCTGGCTGTGCAGAGGATTACAAAAAGGGGCCTGTTGCACTGATGCACATGCCAGAAGCAACTGTAGGCCACCGTTTTCCCCCGATGAGGCTCATACCTATCCAGACAAGACATGCTGCAATTCAGAGCCGTTTTCTTTGGCTGCACTGGGATGGGCAGCAGAGAAGATATCTCAGGGGTTGGTCAGCACAGGCTGAAATTGGAGAAAATCCCACTCCTGGTGAAACCTACACTGATAATATCCTCTTAGCTGTCTTCAAACCCACCGCTAAGGAGCTCCGGTGTCCTCCACAGGTGACTTGCTCTTCTACTTTACTGCACTTCCCCAATTGCCTTCAGTATCTTTTGCTGAATGCACAAGTGAATCCTGCTTTGCTGAATATCAGAGATCTCACAGCCATCCTGATGGGGAAACCTTTTAAAAAGAGGCTTTGAAAATCCCATGCCTGTGCAGCCAAACCACCCTGCCTAATCTGCAGAGAACTTTGATTTTAACAATGTAATTGGGAGAGTATTTTGTCCTTGTTTGTTACAAAAAGGAACTTGGCAATAGGACCATTAAGATTTGATATAATCAAAATGAATGGCTTCTTTAGAGCCTTCTCCATGAACACAGAGAACTGTCTGCAAATCACAGGCGGTGCTATTCTGTGTTTCTCAATGGCTTCTTTTTCAGCTAGAGAAGCCCAAAAGAGCAAGTATGCTCCATAATTGCTCATAGTAAAGCTAAAAGAGTAGTTAAAGGACGTGAAACTTCTCAGAAGGAAACTCTATCATCCACGATAGGAGATGTTATGTTAAGTATTTCTAATTTTAACATAATTCCACACAATCAGGTAAAATACAGAAATCAGCAGAATTTGCTTCTGGTATATGCAAGGAACGTGCATCTCGGAGTAAAACCAGGGTAAGACACATATGAGATGAGCCAAGCGTGAGCCTTAAATCTGCACCCCTTACATCCCAATAATGTGATCCAGGCGCAGGGATCACATGTCCCTAAAACTTAGTTCTCAGGCATTTAGCATCTCTGGCAAAATTCTTGGCATCATCTAATGCCCCAGTTGCCATTGAACTCAAAGAGGACAGAGTTGATTTGGGGATGGAAGAATATGCATTTGCTTTTATGGTGCACTGAGCACACAGCTGAAGCTCAACAGTTATAATATTATGCAAGAACAGGATGGCTTCTTGCCTATGTGCAATACACAGGAGACAGTTCACAGGACCAGAGGTATCTCGTACAGTCACTGACCTGGCAAGCACCTGCTGCTGGTCTACAGGCACTGAAATCCTCTCAGCAGTGACAGCCACCTCTGCTCTGCTGCTCTCCCTGGTCACACTGCCAGTGCCTTGAGCTGCCTGAGGCTCTGCGGGGTCCTAAGGACAAAAGGAAACCAGAGGCTGCAGCTCTGAGATGATGCCGTGCGAGGACTGGGGTAGCTCAAACACCAAACTACCAACTCAAGGTACTGTGCTCCAAGTCACCAGGACTCCCACGCTGTCTTCAGCACTCTGGGATTCAGTAGGATGAGGTTTAAGCACTGGAAAAACTATTTTCCTCCCCGTTCTTCAGTTACTTTTCTCATATTCTGCCCTAAATGTGCTGCTGTGCACGTTTAACTGGTATTAGGCCCTGCCCCAGAGGCAGATATAGGAAAAAATAGATAACAACACACTTAAGCAGATTTGTGAACACCCAGCAGATGCTGATGACAAGCAGGAAAGTTTATTCAACCCAAGCGTGACAATTAGCCCCAAGGGTACCTTGGCTGACGTTGGTTCTTCATCTGCTTCAACAACAGAGTCTTCAGGCAAAGGTGTCTCATTGGGAGCAGCTTCAGTTCTCGTGACAGCTTCTGGAGAGCAAAAGGGGAAATACCCACAATGTCAACGATGAGCTCTGCAGAAGCAAAATGTAAATTTGTAAAAACATCACTCAAAATCTTTACCAGAAGCTGAGAGCTACACATCTGGGAGGAAATGCCCCATTATTTACTTTCACACACTGGTCAGTAAAAGCCATCGGAGACCCAGAGGGCAGGTCAAGTGAGTAATAAAGGTCTTACAAGGCTGGGAGAGCTGGGATCCTCCTGTTCACACACAAATAATCTATTTCAGACAGCTGGGGGGCACGCAGTTATAATCAGAGGGAAAAAAAAAACAACCTCTCACTTAGGAAATGATAGCATCAAAATCTTGTGTTATAGGTTCAATAATTAATATTGACCATTAAGTGCTGAATAAGCACATTACAAAACATGCTCTGAGGCAGTACAGGAGCATAAATGAAAAGCAGCAGCGAAGAGGACAGCTGGGAGTAATTTATAGGTGCGTGAGCAGAATATCTGCCCTCCAGCAAAGCGATGGTGTTGATAATTCACCGGGAGACCAAGAGCTGCAGCCCATTTGCATGCAGCAAGAGGCTCTGCAGCCACCCTGGTCTCGGGCACGTGAGTTGAGCAGAACCAACCCGATAAGGCCGAGTGCTGCATGCCGAGACCCGTCATCTCTGCAGGTCAAGCCTCTGCTGCTAAAGGCAGAGGAAACTCTGTCTACACAGGCAGAGCTGCATTTCACTGCCCCAGGGCTCGCAGGGCAGGGCCAGGCAGGTCCTGACGTAGGGGAGATGGGCAAGGAGACCAAGCTGGGACCAAGAGTCTTAAGAAGGGCCCAGGAGAGCCAGACTTAACGCTGCTGCTATAGATAAGGGACAGGAGGGATGAAAACAGGGACTGCGGTTGCTGCCAGGCAGCACTTGCTAGTAGTCACTGCCACTTTAGATGTTGCAATAGCTGCCACTTTGTAAGAAAATATGTTTTCACACATGCCCAGAGGAAACACGCTAGTTTATTACCAGCATTGGGGAACTTTCAGCCTGGGCTGGACTCACTCTAGCACCCTCCACCTGCCTCGTCCACACCTGCTTCCTTCCTGAGGCTCTCCTCCAGAGCGGACAGCTTGCGATCGTAGGAGTTCTTCAAGCTACTGATGTCCTCCTCGAGGCGGGCACGGGATTCCTGCTCGGCCTCAAAATCCGCCTTGAGCAGGGCCAGCCTCAGCTCGTACTCCTGAAAGGCAGAGCAGAGAGCCCGAGGCAGCCCCCTGCTCCTGGCTGCACCCAGCCGGTCCCGCGTCCACCACCACGACACTCGACTGGCCTCTGCTAATGGACGTTTTTCTGTGATGTAGGTGGACAGGGAGCTGAGGAAAGGCGACGTGTTGGCCCTAGAACTGCCATCTTTCACCTCTTCACAGAAAATGATCATCTTGGCCATACGTGGCGCCCTGGAAGGGGCTTTGTAAAGAACAAGCAGAAAGTTTATTCCCTATTCTCTTTGTCTCCTCAGCACCTCTTTCTTCCTCCTGGATCCATCCCCCCTTTCTCTTTCTTCATCCTTTTACTGTTACTAACATTGTCTACTGCCTTTCTCTCCTTATTTCTCCCTCCGCAGACAGGACAAACCTAAGTTTCACACGTACTTTCCTCTTTTTGATACACGTGCTTCAAAAAGTCTTTTTGGGAATCCGTTCCAATCCATCTCCAGGGAAGTGGGGAAAAACACTGAGAGAAAATGGTATTGAAGTAAGTCCCCCAACAGCATACATCCTGTCCTTAGGAAAAGTCAACCAAAAAAATGCGTAGGGAACTGTATTGAGAAGGCTACATCACAGACTCCTGCACTGTATTTGTATTAGAAAATCCTAGGAGCATCTGTAGAAGACAGTATGGATACCCCCTTCCTTACTTGTCTGATCAGCTCTTTCTCTGCTTCAACATCTGACTGGGATTCAAGAAGAGGAGCTGGCTTCATTTCCAGGGGAGCAGTCTCAGCAGGTAAAAGCCCTGCAAAGCAAAGCAGAAATAAAAATCAGTCGCAGTTGCCGGGTGGGATTATCTGTACAATGCCTGGAAACAGAACAAAGAAGAGCTCAATCCACGTGCTCCTTAACCACGCTGTCAGAACGCCCACTGGCCTGGGATTCCACAGGTGTGGGGAGAGAAGGAGTCACTGCTGAGCAGAGGAGTAGACATTTAAGCTTCAGGTATATGAAAGCAAATATAAAGTTAATCTCTTTCACAGAATAACAGGAGACTTGTTTCCAGGGATATGCTAACGGATTTTCAAAATAAAATACCCTTGGAAGGAGATGAAAGGTAAAAGAAAAGAAAAACGGGCAACTTTCAACAGAGAGGTATAATTCTCAGAAAGTAATAAACTTCCTTGAGATGTCTCTTTCCTATTTGTCCTCACATTCACTATTCCTGCTTCACAGCAAAGAGCGAGTTAGTGGAGGCTGGGCTGAAGCCTCAAATAGAGGACAGTGTTTCTGGGCAAGCAGGGCAATACTCTTCTTGTAGGGTCCAAAAATCACAAGGAGAAAAAGGGCTGAATGCTAATTTTGAAAAGAAATAGGAATATTTAGTAAAGAATTTTACATTATTATTTCCTTAGCAGCTTGTCTTTGTTCTGCCAGCTGTACCCTCTCTTCTGCAACCGACCAAATCCAAGCTAGAATTACCAAGAACCACCACAGATTTGAATCACATCAGCCTTTTTAACACAATTTGTCATCACTGAAGACAAGGGAAAACACAGGATAATTGAGAGGGGCTGTGCAGAGTGGAATAGGGTCAGTTTGACAACAGTGCAGAACAAGTAGAACTGGCAGAATGGAGGAGAGCTCTTCCTAACAGGTAATGGAATGGCTGAGGTGAAACCCAATGAGCACTTGATGTGTAACTAAAGCTAAAACATCTGCGGAGCTACTGAGGTCTCTCTTACCTGCCAAGGTATTCGTGCTCATCTGCTCAGCTAAAATAGCCTTCAGCTTCTTAATCTCCTCCTGATACTCTCTCAGCAGAGTATCCTTGGGGTCCTCATTGATGCAGGGCTTGTTCTTGATGTTCTTCGCTCGATTCGCGTAGCGCAACGTGCTCAGGGTCTCGTCATAGTTGCTGTCGGCCGGGGACAAGCAGGCGACCATGAGGGTCTTGGTGTTCCCTCCGAGGGAGTCCTGCAGCAGCCTCGTCAGCTTGGAGTCTCGGTAGGGGATGTGTTTACACCGGCCATCGACCAGGGCTGAGATGACGTTGCCCAGAGCCGAGAGCGACAGGTTGATTTTGGTGGCCTCCTTGAGCCGTTCCCCCGTGGCTCCGGTTTTTGACTGCCTCTCGCTGCCCGCCAGGTCCACTAAGTTGAGTTTGGCAGCCCTAAGGTGATCCTGCCCTCTCTCATCTGCAGGAAATAATTTGGGGTTAGGGTCTTCTAACCTCTTCATAACAAGAAAAGCAAAAATTTCTTTTGGCACCGTTTCAGTTCAAGCCCCATTCTTTGCATTTGGACCCTGGTTCCCTTAAGCAAATAGCTACTTAATTTTAGAACTATATGTTTTTGTGCTTTTCAGAACCATTTCTAGAGGATGCCATAAAAATTCATAACCGTTACTACCCACTGGGTCTCAAAGCCTCCAAAGACTTCCCTAGGAGCTCAGTGTGGTTAGATTTTTATGCAAAAGCCTCTACAAGTACCAAGACCAGACCACGGATTTCAGAATTTCTTTCCTCCCCGGATTATTTCCCAAAGTTAAATCACGACTGACAGCAGGAGGGAGTATGAAGCTCGAATGGGACTCGACAGGCAGCAGCTGGAGCAAGACTAAAGGGAAGGAGGAGGCTGAAGGGTGAGCTCTCCAAATGCCTTCATGACACAGGGAGGAAGACAGGAAGGTCAGTTCTAGAGACCACCATGCCAGGGCTGGAGGAACCCCTAGAGTGGGAAACAGCATTTCCACGAATTTCCAAACAACAGCTTTTCCCCAAGACCTACCCTAATCAGGGGAGGTGTTCAAGTAGCTTCCTGCCATGCTTCAAAAAATAAAAATAAAACCCCTAAATCCTATCAAGAGATCCAAATACCATCCAGGACCACCATCTGGCGCTCTATCCCAAGACAGCGCAAACATGCGAGCAGCGAGGCAAATCTTCCCCCTTGTCCAGACAGCTCTGGAGCGGCGCAGTGACTCAGCACGCAGGCACGCTCGGCAGCATCTGTTCCTGCTCAAACCACAGCGTGCTCAAGGAGAAAGGAAGATGAGGGAACATATGCAAGAAACGAGACAATTCAGAGAAATCAGGGCTGAACTCGGGAGCCCGGCCGCCAGGATGAGGAGCCAGGTCTCCGCAGGGAGCTCCCTTCCATCGTACCTGCATGGCAAGAAGGGAGCTGAGGGTAACAGCGAGTTAACAGCTACCTAGAAGCACAGCACACCTCCTGCATGTAATAATACCTGCTTCATGACCTACATTTCTGGGCAAGATTTCCAGCCAACGTGATGATACAAATCCCCTGTGACTAAGACACGTTGCATCCAAGTGCTTCAAGAAGCCCTCGGTTTCGCTGGCCAGCCTGGTGGTCTCTGACGTCCTTCCCTCCTCTGCGGAGACAACGGTGCCATTCGCCCATTTTACACCCAGCAAACTGGTCAAGAATAATCTTTCCCAGCCTCATTTGGGGAACTCATGAGCAAGGACTTGGACAGACCTTCCCAAATGACAGACTACCCTCCTAAGTGCTGGATCTCGCTGTCACATATCCCTGCCACAATCATTCCTTGCCAGGAATTCCCTTCTTCAAGGGAAGGACTCCTGGAGTGCTCCAAGCACAGACTCACACCAGGATGAAGGAAGGTTTCGCCTCTTGCAGACATCTCAGGGATTTCCACAATACCTAACCTTGAATTTAGCCCGTGTTAAGCTGTACAACTGCAGAGAAAACCTAAACACGAACAAAGAATAGTCTGATGCTTGGGGGAAAAGTTAGAAGTTCTCAGGTAAGCATAACAAAAAACACTGCCCCGGGATATTTTTCCAGTTACAGTAAGAGATTGTTAACAGTAGAAGCTAACGGTTGCAGCAGAGCTCTGCTAATTGCTTCAGTCCAGATGTTTCTGGCATGTCAAGGCATGGGGGAGAAGAGGAAAACAACAGATGGAGCTCGAAGAGTCCATTCTCTCACCCTCCTTCCCGAGTGCCAGGATGAATGGACAGTGAGAAAAAGCAGGTTTTCTAACCCTTTCCCCCCCTTCTCCCCCTTGCTTCATATAAACAGCGACTTGGCAACTGAAAAGTTGTTTTGGCTCCTGCCAGGACTTTTACCCAAGGAGGCTGTTGTTTCCAGCAGGGAGCTTAGTGGGTTTGTTTCCATGGTGCAAGGAGGTCCCTCGACTCTTGCTAAAGCGCCCGCAGCAGCCCGAAAGTCTCCGTGCTCATTGTGTAGGTCTCTCATGCTCCCTCAGCCCTTCCTGGTGGCATAAGCATTGCCCAAATCCAAACCATCCTCCCGGTCAGCAAATCCACCCCCCAGCACAATGTAAAGGAATAAAACATCTGCTACTCGGAATGCTTTCAAAATACAAATGGTAACTGGTGCTTTTCATACGTCCACAGCCAGAGAAGCCCCAGTATTTGCCACAATCCTGTTCCTGAATCTAAGGTTTTCCTTTTTTAAAAAGTCATTCCAGTCTCTGTAGCTGTGAAGAGCCTTAAATGCCTGTAAATTGGGATGGTCTGCAGGCCCAGCTGGAGAACAAGTTTGAACTTCTCCATGCATATCTTCTGGAAGCCCAAGGACAACAATATAAATACCAACTTTGTTAACTATTTCAACCAATGAATATCCTGGCAGAACCATCCAGCTACTGAGATTGTGCCAGAACCCTAAACTTTCTGCTCAAATATTCCAGCTGCCATCTATTTAACTGCCAAAACTTCACGTTTCTCCACCTTGCCCTGGGTTGCTCTGGATTATCAGTAACCAATCCTAAACCACATCAAAACTGAAAAAAAAAGGAGGAAAGGTAAAATCAAGTTAACTTGAAAATAGGAAAGGGAGCACTGTCTTGCCTGTATTCACTTCCAACTACAGATGAAACTCAGGAAGAATTTTGAGTTTGATATCTGACAGCAAAGTGCAAAACACAGGGTCTCAGGACAGAATTTAGGTCTGGGGATAGCCCAGAGCTCTGTTAATGAATAAGTGAAACTGCTCCCTGTCAGGGGAAATCTCTGAGCTGCCATTCTGCAAAACACAACAGTTTTTTGAAAGCTTTAAATTGTTACAGGCTAGATTAAGAGCACTGCACTCATCAGGAACATGAGAGGAGTGTAAATACTTAATTTTCCTCGTTAGCAGCAATGCGGGGATTTTACAGACACAGGATTTGCACCTATTCCCTGCGCTAACCGAGAAATCCCAAATATCCCACACACCCCATAATCCTCCTCCTCCTGAAAATGAGGTACCGTCAGTGACATCTGGAACTGCAGTTCAGGAAGGCATTGAGTAACCTTCCCCATGACCGAAACAGCTGAAGGAAACGAGGCCAAGCTGTTCCCAGCCTTAGCCGGGGTCAAGGGCTAGACAGGACACAGGAGACCAAATTCCTTCCTTACTCCCAGAAATAATCCTCTCCAGGTCCAAGTTCAGGCCCAGGGATGCAGCTTTATCAGTCTAAGAGACTCTGATGGCAGGAAGCCAATGGAAATGAGATACTTGAGAAAGGGAAATTAGTCACTCAAACATTATTAAGGGACTCTCCTATTCCAGTCTTTAAACTCAGATTAGCTGTTTGCTTAAATGATGTGCTCCATGATTAAGCTAAAAGAAGAAATCACTGGGCAAAATTACCCAAGTTGTGTTACAAAGAAGGTCAAACAAGACAGAAAAATATTTCTCCAGGCCCCACAGTTTATGAAGTCCAACCCAAAGTATGTGGTGTGCCTTTTAGCAGCCCTAGCCAGAAATGAAGGTTTTAGACGCTAAAGAACCAGGAGGAGACCAAAATGTGTTCCCAGTTCAAGCATAAGACATTTCTCTCCCAAAGGAATCAAGGAAAAAAGAAAAAAAAAAAAAAGAGTTATGAATCCTCAGCCATTTCATACAGTGGAGAGTGCCAGTGTCAGGGCACAGCTCTGATTTTTACCAAACCTAAAATCCTTCACGCTTGGAATTTCACAGCGGGATCAGTGGCCAGATTGCACTGACTGTTTGTGTGCTCTGCTTGCTCCAAGCCTGGCGCAGGGACCCCAGCACCTACCTACAGTGCAGATTTCCATGTTGATGGTGAAGATGGAGTGGGAGCGGGACGAGTCCTTGTTCATGAGGGTGTAGCCCACGGCGCGGTTCCTCCAGCCCGTCTCCATGATCTGCTCGCACTGGCCCACGCTGTGCACCGTGTGCAGGGACAGGCCCTTCACGTACACCCCCTTCTCGGGGTGCTCCTTCAGCTGCAAACAGGGACAACACGGGTCACAACAAGGGACAGCAGGACCCGGGGAAACCATGGAGGCTGCCCACGAGCGCGAGGGCTTAGACGTAGGGTGAAAGAAAACACGTTGACGTCTGGCAAAGCCCATCACCAGCTGTGACAGCGGCCAGCAGCTCTATTTGGCTACCACCAAGAAAACTGGTATTTTTGAAGCAGCAGCAAAACCACCCAAAAACCCAGAATCACCCTTTAGGTTGTACAGGCAAAAAGGACTCATGTGAAGAGCTGATTGATTCCACCATCCTCCAGGCCATGAGACACCCAGTTTCTCCTCACTGGGATGCTTTCTACCTCCCCTATTATTAAACCGCCTATGTTAAAAAAGAATTGGAATATTTTTGACCTATTATAGCAAAATCTCTAGCGTATCTTCAAGCATAAAGCCCTTTTTAAAACCTAAGCACAGATTCCGTAAGAAAGGATATTGCTACTGGGAACTTCTCTGAACCCTTCTGCTCTCAGAGGGCGTCTCGATCCCACTGACAAAACTCAAGTCATGCCCATCACGCACAGGACCATAATAGCTTTCCTCCAAATTGGTTCCTTTCTTTAGATACTCCAACATCCTATTCAGGCATCTGGATGGAGGTAGATGTTAAGTCCTAATAGCACCTTTTCAGCAATTATCTATCGTGCAGAAGAAAGTTTCCAGGCAGCGGGTTAATAAACTATGGAAACGCTCCCAAGTCTTCAGTGATCCATCAAACCTACCTAAAAAACACACAAAACAATCAAGAGATTCCTGCCCTCCTACGCCAGCCACCTCTGAGGCTCCTTCCGCACTGGAATTTTAAATGAGCTGGAATCATTTTCAGCAGCTGTGTTCTGCCCCGCATCCACCGAGCGCAGAACTAAATCCCTATCTTTATCATAAGTCAGCTGGGATATCAAGATGTAGGTGGCATGATCGGCTGTCAAATATGTGACAGATACTGCACCTGGCAGTGTGACTTCCAGAGAGGAGCTTTAGACACTTCAGTGATGCACACACTACGAGAAGCAATGGAAATCAGAATCTTTGCTATAAAAAACCTGTGCAGAACAGAGCAGAGCCAGCTGAAAACTCTGCTCTGGGAGGGACTTTAGCCTTGTCCTATGACTAATGTAAAGACCAGGATTAATCCAGTTACAGGATCGTGGCCGAACTGCTCTTATATCATGTCCTCTGACCAAGGAGCAGCTAGAATGTGCAGCATGCTGCATTTAAGGATGCTTACCAAGTCCCCGAGGAAGGGAGAACGTTGCAGCCCCAGGACACACAGTGGAAGATGTGGCTGATGTTTAGCTCCACAACAGACGTTCAAGGGAGCGGGATGCTATCCCAGCAGAGCTCCGACGGACTCGCTCTTCACCGGGTCCCATTTCATGGGAAGTGACTGTGAGCCTCGGAGCAGGGGGCACAGCCTCCCTAAAGGCACCGATGGCACCGCTGCAAAGAAACAACTAGAAATGGGATTTCCAAGAAGAAAAGGGGCCAGGCTCCGGCACACGGCAGAGCGGGTCAGCGTGGTCCTTCCGGCTCCGCAGGACACGGCTCGTTTAATCCCCCAGGGAGGCAGCAACAGCCAGTCGCTGCCACCGGCGCCGTGACGAGTGTTTCCCTGGAAACTGTTCTGCCCAAGTCCTGCCCCGCCGGTGCCAACTGCGGTTGTCATAGAAACCGGTGTCACCGCGGATGGGGAACAAAGGGAGGGAATCTGCAAAAAAAGCTCCTTGGAAAATGGAGAGTCCCCTGCTCCCCCTCTTCTCCCGGCACGGGCGCCGCGGAGCGCGGCCCGCGCCGGGAACTGCCTCTCCTCAAGGCAGGGGGCTGGAAAAGGAAACATCTGCCCGGGAAGGCGCAGGGAGGCAGCCGGAGGCCGCCACCATCCCGGAGCTTCTGTGCAGCAGATGGTGCTAGTGCCTCGGTTTTACCAGGGCGATCCTGCAGGGAAGCGAATCAGGACAGGAGACTTGCAGGTCTTCCCCCGGAATAACGGGAAAAGGCAGAACTGCAAAGCTGCTAAGAGGCAAATTCCATAAAAAATCAACCTCTTCATTCTGATTTCAGTGAAGTTTATTTCCCTGCCTGCTGGGAGAATTCCCATCTTCCCCATCGATTCCAGTGGGAAGTAACGTCTGCTCTGTCCTTTCAAAGGGGCTCAGCCTTTTCAACAGATATTGATATCCTCCAGGCCTACACCGGATCACATTAAGCACTTATGGGGTGCAGACTCCTGCTTTAGAGCATAAACCAGCCACAAGGTGAAAGGAAGAAACTGCTCCCTGAGCAGTTTATTCCAGCGACTTCCAAGAAACTCCCACCAAGCGTCTGCTTCAGGCCACCATCAAGGACACTCAGAACCTCTCTCCAACTGGATCCTGCTCCTTCCAACCACATCCCTCCACATCACCTCTTGGCTTCCATATTTGCCACCCCATCTTCACATTTTCTTCTCCCAGAGCATGCTTTTGCACCTCCTTAAGGTATTAATGCTAATCTATGCAAATTAAAGCACGGCCTAATCGGACGCACTGAGTGCAGTCTCCTCACCTCCAGCTTCTGCTTGGTGTCAGCTCCTAGAAGGTCTCGTACGTCTTCATTGTAAATCTCCAAGTAAGAGGCTCTCACCAAGAACTTGGCATTTTCAGCACACTGCATGGAACAGGAAGGATTTTAGGATAAGGCTCTCCAAATTAAACCAACGAGGCATCTCGCATTACCCCGCAGTGACAGCTGGGTGCCCGTCTCTCTGCAGCACTTCATCACATCTTTCAAGGCACTTGGTTCCCAGGTTCAGCTGTTTTTAACACTCTTCCTACAGAAGCTTTGAGGCCTAAAGCTCCTCAGCTGCGAGTTAATTAAGTCAGATTAGGGCACAGTTCCCCTGGCCATACACAGGCCCCAGCTTTAGGCTGAGATGTGATACACCCTGAGGTTCACTGGCCATTCTGGGCACAGAGGATGTCCCAGGTGACACCTGCTTTGTAGACCCTCAGCTTTTGGCTGCATTGTCGCCTGTTGTCCAGGGAAAATAAACTTTACAACCCCCGAGACTGAAACCTCAATGGAATAGACTGTCATCAAACCTCTTATCGCCTTGGGGGCCACAGAAGACTGTGATAGTGAAACTTCAGATCTGGAAAGATAGTTCCAGGAGTGAGAAACAGATAAGCGGTACCGCATCGAAGACAATCCACAGTGCCAAAGGAGCCTGTTCCCACTCGTGTCCCTAAATCACACGTGTGTGGCCAGCCAGGACGGCGAGCGCGCTCACTCATTCCTTGGGGAATATCCTTGTCCAGCCTGCCTGGGTTCAGGGTTGGGAAAAATGCTGTTTTGGTTCAAGACCTTGACTGGGCTCTAGGGCACGGCACTGCTTGTAGCTCTGCCCGATTTTGCAGGGCAGGTGGAAATGGATAACGGCATGGATGTTATTCCTCAACCTCCCAAGGTTTTGCAAGGACAAATCCTTGCTTGTGGCTCAGAGCAGGGCAGCAACCACTACAGAAAGCTACAAAAATCAGGTATCCCACAACTTTACAGCGGGATCTCCTTCCCATCTTACACACCCACCTGCACGCTCTCGAAAATGTGCTCGAAGGCTCTGGGTATGATGCCCTTCTGCGTAGCCGGATCCACAATTCCCTGCATGGTGAACGACTTCCCGCTGCCGGTCTGGCCGTAGGCGAATATCGTGCCGTTGTAGCCCTCGGTGACACCCTGGAATCGGAGCAGAACCACAAAGCCGTTACCTTTATCTTTTGCATAGCTGGAAATAAGTCGTTCCATTTCTTTCCCATTGCATAAAAGCTTTTATTTATATATATATAAAAAAAAGGAAGAGTTGGAAATAAACATCAAACAAATTTCTGGGCAACCTGGAGGTGGATGAGATGTGCAGATCTAAGCTGCTTTTTGAAATTCTTGTGGAAAGTCCCTCGGGTTGTTAAAAGGAACAAGCCAAGGACTTGGTTAGACATGTCACCGAGAAAATCTGAGAGATGAAAGGATACAAAAGTAGAGCAGGAAAAAAATCTCCCTGTGCCACAGCAGTAAGATAATAAATATGTGTTTTATTACCATATAAATGCGGTGGTTTTCCCTCAAAATGCAATGTTTGAAAACATGCAGAAGGCCCGGGCAGGAAGGCCAGCTGACAACGCTCAGAAGACTGGAATATTTTTGCCCATAGGGCAGAAAATATTATGAGAACTGGAGAGACGACTAGGATGCTCGCTGACTGCAGGGTGGCCAAAAGGGAGGTCTCTAGCTTAAAATAACAAATATATTATATTTCATCCACCATCTCAAGGGCAGTCTTTGGACAGCAGCATTCTCGTTTGTTCCTATTTCGGAGAGCCATGATATAAACAGAAGATATTTGGATTTCTTAATGTTTAAATAAGCATCTTGCATGTAAAGTCCCCAGTTGCAACACTAAGAAATTTTGAGGGAGACGCTGAAAAATCCCCTCCTACCAGGAACACAGGACCCCCCTGAGCTCCTGCAAGCCCAGCAGCCATTTTAGAAGGCTCTTTTCATGCATTTGCCCCAAAATCACACGCTTATACAACAGCCACCTTAAAGCTCTGCAATTCCGGTTGTTTCTCCACTCCTGCTGGAGGAGCGTTTCCAGAACCTGCTCTCCTCGGGACGAGCAACTTGGGTCTTAAAATTACCCGCTGTTACCAGGTTGAATTAACTCAGCTGTTGCTTCTTGCAGCGTTCCTGCTCTGCTTGGCCGCTTCACCGAGCGCCCGGCGATGCTCGGGCCCCGTCTCCGGGCTCATTTTGCTGGGCTACATCTCGCTCTGCTCCGAGATTCCTCAACGGACAGTAAAAATCCCCCTCGGGAGCCTTCGCCTGCCCTCGCAGAGGAAGAGGAGCCCTGAAATTCCTGCATGGCCTCCTGGGGGGTTCCGTCTTTCCTATAAGCATCTGGACGGACGGAATTTCCTCCGCTCCAAGGGCGCCCTGAGCTGGAAGGGGCTTTTCCCCCCCCTTTCCCGGCCCGTTCC